CTCCTTATCCATTCTGGGGAGCGTCAGTCTGGTTCCTATTCCACCGACAAGTCAGAACAGATTACAAGGTATACACACTCACGGTCCTCCCCCTTGTGGTGTGGAGGCCCGAAGGATGGCATTGATTACTTCCCGAGGGAAGAATTTACCACACTTCAACCTTGCCTTAGTTACCCTGTGTTACTAGGAACCTGGATTTGTTGCGTAATTGGTGCTAGAACCCTAAACCCTGGCTTGGTACATCTGTGTCTTTAACTTGTTTTCGGGGATCGTATCTGTATTGTAACTTGATGAGGTTGGAGGGTATAGTCTGAGATCTAGATGTCTCTTGAAGGGGACTGTTTGGCTTAAGGTGGTGGTGATTTGCAAAAGTTTCAACAACATTGCTTGTAGCGATGCGGCGAAACCCCCCGAATTTTTGGCCTTCCATTAACCGCAAGTGGGGGTGCTGAGTTCTGGGGGATGGCTGGGTTGGGGATTGTGAGTTTATCGTGGTGTACTAGGTATTGTAAGGAGGGAGTGGGGAGGGAGGGGTGGAGGGGGTGGGGCAGGGGGATTGTCGGGGGTTGTGTTGGTGTAGGGACAGACGCTTAAGGGTGTGGGGGGCGCGGTGAGGGGAAGGAGTAGGGCTGATGGGGGGCGACGGGTCGTAGATGGTTAGGTGGTGCGTAAGTAGTGGTAGGGTGGATTGGGGCTGATTAAGTGTGGGGTGGAGGGGTTGTGTGAAAGCTTTATATCTGTGTAATGGTTACATTGGTTAGCCAATTCTTGAGAATTAGTCTGTCGTTGTTAATTGTGCCAAGGAGCCCATTACCTAGTTTGGAGATGGAGAATTTTTGGATTACTAGATTTTTTTTGTCTGGGTCAGTTGGGAGATTCTTGAGTTGCTTTTTCCATAGGGCGTGGATTTTGGTGTCTATTAGCTGTTGGATAATGATGAGTGGGTTGTTGGGGGTGGTGAGTCAGTCGTCGAAGGTGTTGTCGCATCTGTTTTTCCATATGGCCCCAAACACATGCATTATATTATGTAGTATTATGTACCAGACAGAGAAGAAGAAAAAAACAGAAACAACACAGTTCAACACACTGCAAGACAGTGTCGCACCCAAAAACACATGCACATACACAATGTTACTCTCTCTCTCTCTCTCACACACACACACACACACACACACACACACACACACACACACACACACACACACACATATGCACACACAAACTGGGTGCTGCAGAACTTTGAATTACCTACATCTCTCTCTCTGTCTCACTCACAAACAACTGCACACACAAACAGGGTGTCTGCATCTCTCTCTCTCTCTCTCTCTCTCTCTCTCTCTCTCTCTCTCTCTCTC